GTTCAAAAATTTAGAAAACCTGTTCTGTCTTCCTCGAAATTTGTTTTTTTTTTCGAATTTATACGTTTTTAGTAAATAAATTTCAGTATTAAATAATAAATAATGTATACCGAACATATTAGGTTGGGGAAAAAGAATGGTTTAAAACAAGTATGGTCGATTTTTAGCCCCTGGCCTACCTTTGCGAGGTGCATCTTTAACATCAAAAATTCCAGAACGGAATCTACGAAACCAAAAGTACACATAATTGGCTGTTAAAGTATTGGAACCATAAACACCATTCATAAATTTAGACTATTGCCTTGCATTTTCGCCTTTCGATACTTTACGAGAAATCTATCAGTACAGCTATCTGCCGACAAAAATAATGGATTTCTTTTTCCCCAACCTAATATTTAAATACATAAAAATAGGGTTTTAGTGACATGACACGGTTAAAATTGAGAAAATACCATTAAAAAGTTATAATATTGATTTCATGCCGCTGAGGACCCCATATAAAATCGTATCAACAAAATTTGTTTAGAGTATTGCAAGGACGAACAAATTGCATCTTGTTGTTATTGGAATCCGATTCAATCAATTAATGACGAAAAGCTCACACAATTCATGGAGATAGAAGGACGAAATGTTCTACAAAACGATTCCTCATTCGTTTTTACTAAAGAAATGTAACCTCTTATAAATATATGAAGCAATCTCTTCATGTATAATGTCAACAAAAGAAATTGTTACGCCATATCTCCGAACTCTGACTTACAGCGAATTTTTCCTTCTGGGGAACATCTCTTTGTCAACCACACAGGAAGACATGTTGGTCTTCCCTTCAAAAAAAAAAAAAAGCTTGCGTCGATGCACCACTATCGAGACGTTTATTAGATATTGACATAAAATAAATTACAGACCTATGCGTTTAAATCCAAAAACCACCGGTCGTTTTAATTTTTCTATTTTGATTTTATGTTTTATTCTTCTTCTTTATGTCTTGTCTCGTTTCTTCTTATTTTCGTACATGTTTATGTTCTGCGTCATTATCGAAATAACTTGGAAAATACATATGCGAATTATGTAACACGAATGAAGAGGCCGGTAACAATAGATCGTAGTAGGAAACTAGTTGTAATATGAATGAAATGATGAAAATATTCTTTTATTTTTTGTTCTGTGTAGGAAGTCAATTTTTAGTGCAATGATTTCTAAGTACACAATTTGTTTGTCTAAAGTCTTCGAAATTCGAAAAAGAATTGCAACACATGAGCCCTCCTGACTGGCTCAAAAACTATAATTTATGGTTTATCCACCGTACAGCGCTGCCTGATACTTAAAAGATTTGTTCTTATACCTGCAAATCAATGACAAGTGCCAGATCCGTAGTCTGAAAATTTTGTTGAAGCGTTCAAAAATGTTTTGGAGTACTTCGAAAATTGGTGGGAGACATGAAAATGTGTATAAATCAATCTGGGCCTCGACAATGCATGCAAATAACCTGGAACTCGACCGAAAACTCATCGTGACTGATGACGTCCATTTTCACTACGGTGGCTTTGTCAACAGACAAAATTGTCACATCTAGGACTTGGAAACAAGTCATTATTAAGATACTTATCCATCCTCAAGTTGTGACTGTTTTGATCAGCAGGGTCATTCGTTCCCAAGACTCATTCAGTGTCGATTTAGAACCACAAATATAGAATTCGTGTGGTTATCGAGGACAAAGGACAGTGCCATCTACTTATGAAAAATCTGATAAAAGGATAGGGTCCGACCAGCTATCTCAATAAAATATAGTTAGAAGATCTTCCGCATAAGAATAATTTCTGATATGCTGTAAAATATATTAGGTTGGGGAAAAAGAAATCCATCATTTTTTCGGCAGATGACTGTACTGATAGATTTCTCGTAAAGTATCGATCAAACAATTTCAGATTTATGCTTGTTGGAAGGGTGACATTAAGCAGTAAAAAAATATATTTTGCTGTTTTTTTAGTTGTGAGTTACAGGGTGTTAAAAAATGGAAGTGAACAATGAAAAAATTCGGTACATTTTACAGTTTTTCTTTGGCAAAGGCGAAAATGCAAGCCAAACGGCCAAAATTGTGAATTGTGTTTATGGTTCCGATACTGTAACAGCCAACTATGTGCAATATTGATTTCGTTGGATGTTAAAGATGCACTTCTCACAAGTAGGCCGGTCGTCGAAAATGTCGATAAAATCGAAGAAATGTTCGAAGTCGACCGGCATGTTAACAGCTTTTTCCCCAAACTAATATGTTGCTCCTCGAAAATAATATGTCTTCGGGAAGAAGTAATTTCTATTTTTAAAATGTCTCCCAAAGGTCTTCTAAGAAAGCAACAATTTATTTCATGCAAAAATATGAATTGCATCACACTGTTCGAAATTATTCCTCGTTTGTTTGGGTCTATTACATCAATAATATATTTGTAACATTATCAAATTGTTTTTGTTATTTCATGCGACAAAACAATGGGCCACAGTATTTAGTTGCAGTTCATTGACTTATTGGAAATAATAATGACATTCTAGCCAAATGCAATCAACCAACCAACCATTGTCGTCAAAATAAATATGAACCACAAATATTTTTGCTAATCTAATCAAAAAGTGTGAATTAAAAAGTACCTATATATCAATTTCGATTATAGTGAAAATCAGACCACTGAATACAAAGTGAAGGTGTAGGTGTATTTGTAAAACACTTCAGCTTCTAAATAAATATATTTATAGATATTATTTAAGGTAAGTGGGGTATGTTTTTTATTTATTCAGTATGAACTTAGTTGGGATATAAAGACATGCATGAAAAGTAATGATTACAATGGGTATTAAAGATAATCAACTAAAAATTTGCATACGATCCTCAATTATAAATTTGTGTCCGTAATCGGAACTGAGTTATTTTTTCCACAAATCTTTTAAAGAACTGGGATCAGCTGACTATCGCCGAGCTGGCAACTCTGGATATAACGCGGCTGAAGTAACTAACGTGGACCTTACTCTCAATTGTCACTTTCTAGAGGATCTCATATTTTTGCTTGGATATGTCAAATAGTTCTTTTATTGAATCATAGTATCACGTTTTGTAGCCTTCTAGAAGTCTTCCTTGGTCCGATAGAAGTTCAATACGCACATCAATTAAAATTTAAATTAAAATGGAAAAGGAGTAGTTACCATAACGGAACCCGAAGCTACACTGTAGATACCATAACAAAGCCCTAAATACATCGGAGTTTATTTGTTTCCCATTTCCGGAAAAACACACATTAGTATAAATTGAAATTCGAATAGTAAGGAGTAGCTACTATAACTGAACTGAAAAGGGAATTCTACATTAATGTATCCTTTTACCTTCTATCTTGACAACTCTTTCGTAGAAACAAAGTTTAAACCATACCCAGCATCAGTGTGGAATTAAATTTTGTATAGAAAGGAGTAGCTACCATAACAAAACCCAAAAGGGAATTCTACATTTTTGTTTCACATTTTTTTACGGGGGAGTTACCCAACTTATTTGATTTGAAGGTAAGGATCTGTTCTTATTATCTAAAGAAACATAATTTGTATGAATAACAGAAGGAGCTACATTAACAAAAATAGAAGTTGATAGGAACAGCAGCCGAAAAAGAAGCCAAAGATAAGCCACCTCCTTATCTTCCTAAGGTTGTACAATATGCAGTTGCATACCATTGAAGAAAAATATTGTAGTCTGTATGGAAAAAAAGTCCATCACTACAAGAAAAATCTGCTCTGAAAAGGAATGCTCTGGTGTGATGCCAAATGTCCGAACCTTGACACGGTTGAATTTAATTCGTAGATGGAATTTCGCAACAATAGTCGACATAAATACAACTTATGAAGTAAAGACATTTGTAAGTCACATTGCCCAATATGCCTGATGAGCCGCTTAACCAACGGCGAAACGCGTCGCATAGTGGTGGGAATGTAGTATCTCTCTGGCTTTCCTTTTCATTGCAACTCCGATCATGTAGCTCATCTCGAAAGAGAAATTAATAAAAAGATAAGAAGTTTAGTTGGCAAAAATTTTCGAGAAATTCATTTTATGTAACGCCATTTATCTGCTACTATATTTGACGAGTTATGTAATAAAAATCTACGAAGTTACACAAGAATTTCATACAATAAACGCTGATTATATCTTCCTCTACGGAAAATGATCAGAAAATTTAGAATTATGTCGTTGAAAGGAACGTCTGCAATGTGAGAAGAACATGACGATAAGTTATTTTCCCGAAGAGAAATTATAGGCAGAAGATTTTGCTGAGATTTTCTTTCTGGGTTTTAGAAGATAAGTTGAAGCCTCTGTATATATGTATTTATGTAGGCTCCACAATTGGTAGCCACCAAAAACAATTCCCAATGATCGTATGTGCAATCAACATCCACAAAACAAAATATCAATTTATGTTTACGGAGTCCCAACGTGATTGAGAATTATATCCCAGTGGGAAAAGTGAGAACATATTACATTGAGAATCGACTAAGTAATATATTATTTATATTCGTCGAAGCTTGACCGGAACTTCTTAAACAAATGTCCAATAGTTTCTTTGTTGTAAAGATTCTGTAAGGAAGATCCTGATGATAACTTACTCTCCTTAAGAGTTTGAGCACAGAGGAGATGTGATCTATTTTAAGAAAATATTACTTTATCGAACACGGTTAGATAGGATACAGTAGCTGGAGAATATTAAATAAGTAAGGAGCATCGGAGAATTGCTCCTCTGCAACATTCTACAATAATGACCGATAGTTTCATCCTCTTCAGAGAATTATCATAACCATTTCATATTACCAGAAATGGATTTCAACATTTTCAAGCTATAAATTAATAGAGTTTTAAACAACATTTTGGGGATAAAATTTCATACTTTTTTTCTCACTAAATGTTGTCACAGACTTTGGATCGATTTACCCCCCTTAATAATATTGTAATTCTAATTTAAAAATTAATTTTCATTTACCTCTTTTATCACTTCGGCATTGCTTATGAATGGACTTAAATCCACTTCTTCCACTTTCACCGTACTAACAACATCTTCTACCCCTTCATCTGCTTCTTTTTCCTTTTTAACACAAGCTTGCGAAATATCGGTTGCATCCGAAGTCAATGTGGAACATGTTGCAGTCCTTGTATCCATAACACCCACCAATAAGGTCTTATCATCTTCATCATCCAATTGTTCCAATTTAATGCCAACTTCATCATCTGGATTTGGAAAGCTGCCATTTAAGGCAACAGCTCCTTCCGACTCGGTATTTAAAGCATTTGCCGAACTACCAAAGGTGGGTAGGAACACATCTAAATGGGGTAAATCAAAAAGTGATGCTGAATCTTGCGCCTGTTGCCCATCTTTTAGGGGTAAATTGCCATAGTGGCTATTCATAATGGGTAGATCATTGAAATCACTGAGATCTGCGAGATTTTGTTCCCATACCGAACGTTGATCTTGCATGGATTCCGAGTTGAGGAATAGTTCAATTTCTGGGGTGGGGAGGTTGTGGATGTTGGTGTTGTTTGAATTACCCGCCGCATGGACTATGGAACTAACTGCAGCCGCCGTAGTGTTGCGAACATTATCCAAAGTTATCGATCCACCCGATGAGGGCGAAGATGATGACGTGGCAGATGTTGCTGAGCCTGACGAACCACTACTTGGGGTTGTGGCGCCCGACGGTGGAGGTATGGCTTGCATTTCTTGCATGGCCGCCGTTTGATTGACACCTTCATTGGAGACATTCAGCAAATAGGCGGTAATATTGTACTGCGTATTGGCCAAACTCTCACTCTGATGATCGTACAGTATGAGATCTTCGATGAGCGGCATCATTGACTTACGATTGGCATAGGGATATTCAACCATGGGCACAGCCCGTAACATTTCCAGTTCCCAGCCATCGCCATCCCTTAGCTCCAGCTGGGAATCCCAGTTACGCAGTCTTTGTTGTAGATAGTCATCGGGATTGACATGCAATAGGCTTAGGGCCAGGGCCAATTGTAGCATTTTCATGGCATAGGATTTTTTATTCGAAATCATTTTGAGCGGGTGATGATGGGGGTGGTGGTAATGAAGAGGCTGAGATGAGAAGTTCTAAATGTGAAAATTGTTATTCACGATAAGGTGGCTGACTGAGAGGGGGGTTTATGGAGGTGACGATGAATGCGATGATGCGGATTTGTTCTTGGCCAATTCTTATATGCAAATATGTATTTATGGTTGTTGTTTCAGTACAATTAATCTGTTGTAACAACAAACAAATTTGTTGCGTGTAGGCGGGAGATCACAAGCAACGGCAAGGAAAGATATGCACAAATAACCCCACCTCCTACCCGCCGCCGACCGCCACCACCTCCTTTTGTTAATGCAATTGCCGTTTTTGTTACAGTCCAGCTGTCGCGGCTTGTTTTTGCAGGCTGATTGGCTGCCTGGCTGGCTATTTGCTTGTGACAATGAATCCAAGAACCGATGCTGATGCTGATGATGCTTTTCAACAGTTCAATAACGCTTTGGTGGTCGTCGCCACGGTCTCCTTGCCTTGTTTGGTTTGCTTGGAATTTGTATGCACAATAATGCCGCCTCCGTTACAATTGTTGTTCTTTGTCTTAACAAAATATACAGCTACGCAATTTTCCAACTTCCTAAAGCGTTTTGGACGTTTTGTAGCTGTTTGCCAACGTGAACGTCTGTTTTCTCTTCTTCGTCTCCGTCTGCTTGCTATGATGATGGACTTAATTTATTCGATAATGACCTCGTTCGTTGGTTTGGCCAACTAAATGGCCCCGAGCGGTATTGTCTTTCTGTTGCGTCTTTCTTTCGCTGAGGACGTATAGTTCGCTATATATCTCACCGAAATAAAAAAACAGAATTCCGAACGCTAACCTAACAAAATCTGAAAAAAGAAAAGAAGAAGACAAAAAGTTATTAAAAAGCCATCGACAAAAGTTTCGACAAACATAACTCTATTCATAATTAATGTTTGATGATATTTAATATATGGATTTATGTTAGAAGAAGAATCTGTAGACAATAAAAGAAATGAAGATAATTATAAAACAACGGAGCCGAAGAAACAAAAATGGAAATGAGGTGAAATAAATAAAACGCAAGCTTTCAGAAATGTTTGAGGAATGGGTGGTCGAATATTATTTACCTTATAATAAATAACCTAGTCAACTTTAATATGAAAATTCGGAAGACCACGGGCGCGGAACCAGTAGACCGAAAAGTATTTACTTTATAATAAAATATCCAGTCATTTTTGTAATATAGGTATTTCCTTGAACACTCGAAGACATGGCGGAATGGTCTTTGTATCGTGAGCCAAAAAATATATACCTTATAATAAAATACACAGCGCGCTGTAAACAAGAAAAAGTTAAATGTTTTGGAAACTTCCATCACTGTTAAATTTTGTTTCGATCTGGCAACTCCTTCATATAGAAACAGGTGTTAAAAAAAGACGCATCCGCAATTTTTTTTACAATGAAATAACGCATTGCTAATTTTTCCATTGTAAAAAATTGCGGATGCGTTTTTTAACACATGTTTTATAACATTTGCTTTAAACTATTGGCTCAACTTGAAGATGATAAACATATGGAATATTTCTGTGAGCACCCTCGACCCTAAAGTTATTTACCATATTCGATCCACAATCAATACCTTTGATTCAGACCCTATACTTGAAACGAGAGTAGTCACACTGTGTGAAACTATAATACCGAATAGAGGACAATGGAATAGCGGAACACTACACATTTTTCACATGTTATTCAAAACATATCAAATGTTATTCGAGAATTCCATTTGTAATTCACAACACACAATTTGCAATTCATAACATATCAGTTGTAATTCGAGAATTTCATTTGTAATTAATAGAATACCTTTCGAAATTCATAGAATTCCATTTAAAATTCATAAACTTCCATTTGAAATTCCAAGTATTGCATTTGAACTTCATAAAATTCCATTTGAAATTAATAAAATTCCACTTGGAATTTAAATAATTCCATTTGAAATTCTTAACATTTGATTTGAAATACATAACATTCCATTTGTTTTTCATAACATTTAATTTTAAATTCGAAAAACGTTATTGGTAACACAAAAGGAATATGTATGAATTTGAAATGAATTGTTATGAATTACAACTGAAATTTTATGAATTACAAGTGAAATGTTTTGAATTTCAAATTGGATTCTTTGAATTTCAAATGGATTTCTTTGAATTTCAAATGAAACTCTACGAAATTCAAATTGAAATATTCGAATTACGAATGAAATTTTTTAAATTTCAAATGTAATTTTTTGAATTTCATACGAAAAGTTTAAAATTACAAATGAAATGTTGTGAATTACAAATTACATACTCGAATTACAAGTGAAATGTTATGAATTGCAAATTGAGTTTTCGAATTACAAACGAAATTCTCGAATTACAATTGAAATGTTTTGAATAACATTTGAAAAAGGTGTAATTACATACTCGAATTACAAGTGAAATGTTATGAATTGCAAATTGAGTTCTCGAATTACAAAAGAAATTCTCGAATTGCAATTGAAATGTTTTGAATAATAATTGAAAAAGGTATAGTTCATATGCCTGCTAGCAACTGTTGCTACACAGATGGCTCTCGACTAGCTGGAAAGACTGGACTAGGACTTTTTATTGAAGAGGTGGGAACAGACATTTCTCTTCGCCTTCCAGATGACAGCACGATCTTACAGTCGGAGGTTCAAGTTATAACATAGTGTCTCAACTGGTTAAGTTTAAACATAGGACGAAATACAACAAATATAATTATGGATAGCAAATAAGCTATAAATGCAATATCCTCCAAAGCAGTTAAATCCAAAACGGTAACGAGCCACACAGGAGTAATAGGCAACGAGGTAGTCAACCAGAAGTGTTACTGCACTACCCACAATAGATGTGAGCAATGCCAAACGCTTTAGCGCAACACGTCAAGAAATGAGGGCATTGCGAAAGAGACCCAGAAAATTCTTCGATAATGAGGGGATAGGAAAGATCACAAACATTTTATGGGTTGATCCAAATGAAGACAAAACTAAGCAAATCCCAAAGCTAAAAAAAATAAGGAGACTGGCGTGTATTTTTACGGGACACCTCAGCCTGAAGGCACATCTACTCAAGATTGGATGCGAGGGCAGCAGCAGGTGCAGAGAGTGTGGGGAAGACAGTACAACGAGGGAACATTTTTTTTTTTGCCACTGCCCAGCATTTGCAGGCCTTCGATGTGACACTATTCACGGACTAACCGATCACAGGGAGAAGACTGAAGGAATTCTCAAAAAACACAGAATTCCTGAAATCATAGGGATTTCAAACCCCAGATGGTTAATCTAATTTCCCTAATTCTAACTTTCTTTTCATCTTTAGAGTGCAAAACAGTACTCTAGTGGATTTAATATATGTCGGTTTATTTTGTTGGACATGTGGTGGTAGTGTAACTTCGGGTTATGTTAAAGAGTTTAGAAAACTCTTTAAGCGATGTAGTATACCTCCTCGCAGAAATGTTTATAATCTGGGCCATTTTACGTGGCCCACATTACCCGACTTTGAATTATTTTATTTAGAAATTATAATTATAAAGTTTAAATTTACTTTTAGTTGTTTGTTTATTTTGAAGCCTATTCAGCCTATTTGACACCATATTATATTATGACCCGACAACTCGTATTCGATTGTTTTTATCTGCAATCTATTATGGTCACTGCTGTATACATAACATATTGGATTTTCACTATTTGAGCTTCTCATGACTTAGCATGATTTGTAGTCCACAGATATCAAATCCGAAAGAATATCAGAAGAACTGCAGGGACTTTTTAAATCAATGTTAGCATCTCTAACTACAATAGATGCTCTTCTGCAAGGGCAACATAAATCATTTTCAAGATAAATAAATATGTTAAATTTCATTTTAGAGACCGATAAAAATTGATAATTTTGAATGGGATATCAAAAATTCGTTTAATGATATGTGTATTGCTTCAACATAGTTGTAACTCTCACAAAGTTCCACTGTCTATGTCAAATTTTTCCGCGCATATAAAGACACTCCGCCATATCTATCCTTTCGACAGCAGTGTATTAACTTTAAGATGAAAATATTTATATGTTGAGAATTCTATCTGAATATTTATTCCGATTCACCTATATTACTTCCTGATTATCATAGAATGTATTTTCATTGTCTTAATACAAATATTTTATTTCCTATTATCTTCCGCCAGACGACTCATTCATGTATGACAGCTTTTTATCGTCTACTTCTTTGGTAGACGAATGCGCTTTACGGATGGATGTGCAAAAAAGAAAATCTAGTTGGTGATTGACGGTTGTCTATGTGAGTCAGTATCCATTAAAGTATCGTATAACACATTTCACTGCTTCTCAAAATGCTTACAAAATATGGAGCGTCAGGACGAGATAGGTATCTCCGGTATCCGTTTTTGATTTCTAAAAATCGGAGTATACGCAGAACTACAGTCTTTCATTTAGCGAATCACGAGTACGCATTTTTTCGCATTCCGGCTTAGGACCTCTCCAATATATTTCTTTCTAGTATTTGTTCCTTTCTTCAGACAATCGTTTAAGTTAAAAAAAAAACATTCTTAACTAATATCAGTTGTCGAATGTCACACCAAATACCTTTTGTCGGATTTTGAGCGCAATCGATCTCTGGATATTCCTCAATTGGGAAAATTCTCGGCAATCTAACTCCATCGACATTAAGTCTAAATACCTTCGCCTCAGCAGCGAATCTTGGTCTTATTTCAGGCTTTTACCCATGAGGTATATTCGAGTTTTTTAGAAAGTCTTTTCAGCTACCCGAAGATATGGAGTATTGACAGCTCTAGAAAGCAGCTTTCACAACTCCGGGGAGTGTACGCCTCAGACTTTATAAAGTCGCCGTGCAAATCACGTAATTCATTCGAGACATCATTTTTAAACTATACATTGCTATGGAGCGATAATAAGTGACTGTGTGGAAAGGTATTTATTTTCA